GCAGCCCCAGTGTTCAGGGCACCCGGATCCCCACACGTGCACCCCACTGGCAGAGCGTGATGAGTCAGTGGTGTGCCGGCCCCACACGTGCACCCATGTGCACAGAGAGCCAGGTATGTTCCCAGCACTTGACACTAAAGATCAGAAACCGGACAGCTCATGGTTGGGCCAGTCAGCATGAAGATAATCAGGAGGACAGAGCGCAGTCCAGTGGTGCCATCAGGAAATCAGAGGATGTGATGGCGCTGACAGGGAGCGCCTTAAGGTGCTCAGCGGCCAGGCTGAGGAAGTCAGGTGCACCTGAGCTTGGCTTTCCGACACTGCTCTGGGCTGGGATTATGTAGGGTTTAAGTCATGGGGGAGGAGGTGCTGACAGTCTAAAGGATGCCAGACACACCCACTCCGCCTGAGCTCCCCCATTGAGAACCACTGATGCGGGGATCCCCTTCTCAGGCCATGGTCATCCCCTGAGGCCCCCTCCTGTGCTGTCCACCAACCTACCAAAGTCCCATAACCTGCCACGTGGGGTGACCGAGAGGTCTCACGGGGTTGGCATTGGGGATCCTGGAGAGGGTCAGGATTGTGACAGGTTGGGGACACCTGGGCATCGGTGGGTTTGGATCAGCAGCAGTCCATCCCACAGAGGACCCCCACTGAAGAGTGTGGTGGCCTTTGAGCACAGAAGGGAGTCTCTGGGCTTGAGTGGTAAGGTGCTGAGGCTGAGTGAGGTGTCTGAAGGATGGGAGGGGGCAGCCCCTGGGTTCCATGAAGGTGACACTAGCAGCGTTCCCAGCACAGCCCTGAAGACCTGATGTCTCTGTGGAGTTCTTCAGTCAGGACAGCGTCTTAAGTGTGCCAGCCCTGCAGTTTCTTCCTTCTGCACCACCCCCAGGGCCTCCCGTGAGCTGGGCGGAGGCCGCTGTCCCTGGATAACAGTCCCGCGTCAGCTTTGTCTTGTATCTGCAGCTGGTTCTCTGCTGCTGCATGTGGCAGCTCCTGGTCTGATGGGCAGGCATCTCGGACCCCAGAGGATGCACACTGCCTTCTCTGTTGCTGGCAGCACAGTCCCCGTCGTCAGTCCTGAAACCTGCTCAATTCAAGCCCTGCAGGGTGGGGAGACTGGTCAGGTCCACCCTGGGGGCACCCTGTGTGTGTTCCCGCCCAGCAGGTCCTGTCCACTCACCCGCCCTGTATCACAGTCCCCAAGCTTGGCCATGACAGTCCGAGCGTGGCGAGGGCCATGTGGTCAGTAGCCATTGTAGCTCAGGAGGCTGGCTGGGACCTGGGACAGGTGGTCAGTGGGAAAAGGACAGTAGACCCAGGGTTGTTTTGTTTGTTTTTATTAAATTATTATTAAATTTTATTAGTTTTCATGAACGTTTACAGAGATTTTGGGTTTTCATTCATTCATTGTTGCACTGTTTTCTCTACCCTCCTCCCCAGTTCGTTCTTCTTCCCCCCTTGTCTGTTTTAATTGTCCAATTGCCAC